TCATACACTCTAGTCATCCTAAGAATCGGCTTCTTTATCTATTAAATATTTACATACAATTGTCCTCCGCTCTAATCCGGGATAAGCCAAATAGCATAAATCATTATATATCGTTGTGCTACTACAACGAGGGCACTTTAATCGCATGAAAAAAAATAAATAAAAAAAATAAACTTTGACACAACACGCGAAGCGTACACAGTAACATTTATAAACTTTTGGAAAATACGATTTTGAATACGTGAAATCGATTGGTTCGTGCGCCACGGAATGACGTGGTACCGTGCAGGACGTTCTTTTGCCGAACGAAATCGTTCGGGACCGATCCTATTGCCCTTCGTCCCGAAAACCTAGTCGAGTGCCGGCGAAACGGAACGACAACAGTTATTATTACCGTTCTCATTGCGAGTGTACCACAATGAATGGCAGTATGAGCGCGGACGTACGCGCAGATACGATTAGACAGTGTAATAACAATAATATAGCCTCGTTAACGATCTTTTCAAAATCAACGACCCCATCTTCATGCCCGGGATTTGCGGTATGTGCGAGCGTGTAAAGGCGGGCGTGCGCGCCCGCCCGGAAAGGAGGACGGGGGTGGAAACATATTCTCTGTATATTCGCGCAGTTCCGGGGACGTTGTTTATTTACCGTCTCTTCACCCACCCCCGGTCCCGATCGGATAGTGTCACCGCGGCGGGTGGAGAGGGCAGAACTCGGGACCGGGTGATTGGTTGCGGGGGTGGAAGGGAGGCGGGGACGCGAAAAGATTATTTATCACCGTCGGCGGCGGCGGCGGCGCACTTGATTCCGAGTCATTGACTCTGCCGGGGTCCCGTTAAACGGTTTAAAGGCGCGTGGCAGCCGCCCCCCGTCGCCCTTTGTCGGCGACCGACCGAATACGGTCCCACTGGTGCGACAACGGCGGCGAAGGCGAAGGCTTTCGCGACGGAAAACGAAATAATAAAAAAATGATTACGTGGTTATAAATTAAAAAGTGACGGCGGCCTATCTGCACGCACGACCTTTGTGCGTGTGAGATGTTGTTGCTCACCGCCGCCACCACCGACGTTATTAATTTATCGATAATTTACGACCCTTTTCCTGACGACCGGAGGGCGCGCGTGTGCGTCAAACCCCTTTCAGCCCTGTTCCTGGGCGACGGCCACGATGGCGACCCGGTGACATAATGTTCCAAGTTTTGGCTATCGTTTTGGCTTTTATTTAAATTATTAACAGGGATGAAAGTTGATTATAAACATAATGTGATCCATGAGTGATGACGACGTCGTACCCGGTATTACCGGTGTGCGATGAACCATTTATTTCGCTGCTCCTAAATGATTTATACGAGTAATTATTACGTTGGCCGCGTAACGTGTTCACGTATATTTCAAGATAAAACATACATATAACTAGGGAACGGATTTATATGTAATAAAAATACAGAAATATGTACATATATATGTAAGTATAATATATTAAATATGTGCTAAAAACATCCAAATATGTGGGGAAAAAAAATTTAAAAAAAAAGTGATTATTATTATTAAATTATCAAAAAGATTTGTTGCATTGTATTATTACAATATCTTGTAAATTATCAAATGTTAAATGTCGCCTATTAGGTATCAAAATATTTTTAAAACGGCTAAATTATCGTTTCACATCAACCGATGTATTAAAAGCATATTTCAAGTGCATACTATCAGAAGGCGATAATTCCAAATTTTTAAAAGGTTGTCTGCCATTCATTATGTCATTGATTGTTTTAAAATCAATATTGCCTGGAATTTTTTTCTGTAATAGCATGAATTTTCTTTTTTACGACATCTATTGGTCTGCTTACGAGTTTTAATCGCTGATTCAACAATTTGCATACTATCATTTGGGGACATATTTTTTATTAATAGTTTTGTTAAATTATTTTTAATTAAAATTAAATTATTTTCAATGTTTCATTTTGCATAATATTTTGAGCTTTTCCAATAGCGATAAAAGTTTCTGGATCTAATTTTGAAATAATTTCTTGTATTTTCGTACGAAGAAGACGTATGAATGGTTAAATGATAACAATATGTTTAAAAATATTTAAAAATTAGTGAAATATGTAAAAATATGTAATTATACCAAAATATGTAAAAATATGTAAAATAAAAGTATCATAATTTTAATAGGAATGTTTTAAATCATAAACGTTTCTTATCGAATCTTAAATATCTCGTTTTAATAAAAATATGCATTTACATATAAATCCGTTCCCTACATATAACTATAAAATTCGTACTGGTAACTGTAGTAACCGATAATATCGTTTGATAGTAAAACGTAATGGAAAAATTTGCTTCATATTTTATTTAAAACTCTATTGCTTTGAGATCAAGTTGCAAATGAACTTTTGACTTATTTTCATAATTTGACATTAGTTTGAAATCTTATTGAAAGTTTTTAACACTTTCATCGTTTTTTATTATTTAAATATAACATTAGATTTCTGGTACTACAATACTATTGGTTTTTCACGTTTTACTAATTTGAATTTCTTGGCGGAGTATTTTGGTGTTTCCCCCCCCCCCCCCCCCAAAAAAAACATCGTACTGTATCTCAAACATTGTTATTATATTATACAGAAGTATAGGTTATCAGGTTTTTAGTTATTTGGTACGACATTTTTTTTTTATAATTGTTTAAAAAATCGATTATGGTACAATTAATAATTTTCATGAATAATTATTGTTAAATTGAAACAATTATAAACTAATATTTCTATGACTTGTAAGTTTATTCTAGCACTCAACACTTGTCTTATTGAAAAAAAGATTTCAAGATTCACGATTTACGTATTTTTATAATTTATTATTTTTTTTTTAATTTTTTTTTTTTGATAAAATAAAAAAAACCTACTTAATTTGCTTTTTAAAATCCATTTGCTGTATTGCACGGCACTTGAGTTATAATCGTATATGATAAGACATTCAATATTATTATACGTATTTGATATTACGATATAATACGCCAAACCTCTCTTGGTATACTCTCTATTATCTTCTTTATCTTTAACTCTTGCTTCTTTATGCAAGCAGTGATTTGTAACCTTCTCCAACTATATAAATATAACTATCAAATGCGTAATAATATATCGAGCTGTAATGTTTTTAAATAAAAGTACTTTGAATATAAATATTTTTTTTAAAAAACTTTAGCTGTCTAAAGTACCAAATCAAAATCAAAATTATTTTAAACTTAAATGCAGTACATACGCTTTAAGCTCACAGTATTCTACGCAAAAAGCGAAACGTTAAACACTAACGACCTTATATTTCCCTCTACCCACTGAACGGAATTTTATCGTGTCATTCATGATTCAAATAAATGTTTCATAATTCTAATGAGATCTTCGGTACAGTAATTAAACATTATCGTATCATTTTGGGTCTAGTACACCACAAAATTTATAATATGCTATACGGTCGAAGTTGTAGTTTTATACATTATTTATTATATGAAATTAATTTAATGTATGTCAAAGTTCGACCTTGTCTGATAAGTGGTCTGCTTTTGTTTGCATTTTAATTAATGTGTATATCATAATCAATCGATAAAAATATGCGTGGTTTTTAAACGAGAATCCGTGGATTTCGTTGTTTAACTATTGAGATATGATTTTATTTAGTAAACAGTTTTATAGTCAAAAGGAGTTATTTTTGTGTAATATCAATTTATAATCGCGTAGGATACATTCATGGTAAAAAAGTTATTTTGCGTAAAGAAATACAAATCAAATAGACGTTTTCAAAAAAAACCTTATAACCTTTTTAACCTTTTATGTTAAATTTATAACAGTATTATGGTAAAAACTCAGAAGCCTTTTTAGAAATCTTTGAGTTGTAGATAAGCAAAGGCGCAATTTAGGTAGCTTAGGTGTGCTTAGCACCCCCATTTTCGAAATTAGCATCCCCAAATGTGTTTATGTTAATTTACGTTTAAGTAATATATATATATTCAATACTCATTACTCGTATGTATAGAAAAACAGAGTTTTTATTGTATAAATATATAAATGTATTATTTAAATAATGGTGGTGGAAGTTCGTCCTTCATCTCTTCGATCCTCGAACTGGATAATAGTAATAGGTAGGGTTGCCAAATTTTGAAATCCCTAAACTGGGACATTACATTGAATGACTCTTTTTTTATTTTCGTATGAAAATAAAATAAGTATATAATTTTGTAATTTAAATGTTTATTGGCCAATACATATTTATTGTATATAACCATACTAATTGAAATATATATATATATATTATTGATTTTATATTGATTTTCATATTGATAAGTCTGTTAAAGAAAATGTTGTCAATATAGCCAGTTTTTAATGATCTTTGATGACATTTTAATATTATTTCATTTATGCATTCAGTGTATTTAAAATTAGTAATACAACGAAATTAGCAATTTTTTAACTTTTAAGATACTGTTTTTGTATCGAAAAAGCATTTTGAGAATCCTGTTACCCACATTAACCGATGCCTACATTAGGCGGAATCCACTGTATTTTAAATTTCATCTTATAAATATTTATATTCAATTGAAAACAAAGATATAGGAACTTACTTTTTGCTATAACTATAATTTTCTTTAATAATGTCTTTATTTTTTAGTAAATTATTTTAATTCACTATTTGGGGTACAATCTTGGTCTCATACCGGGTACATATAAAATTATTGAACGATGCTCTTACAAGAACTGTTCATTGTATATTTTATGTAGAAATATGAAAATGTTAAACGATTATCTTTTTAATATAATACTTTTATATTTTTAGAGTGTTTTTTTCATGAAATTAAGACTGCTTAGAATGTTTTAGTTCTTAAAAACAATTGATGTAAATTCAAAATATTGCTTATCTGAAATATATTCTAATCTATACAATTTATCATTGATTATAATTTATAAATAGTATTTACTATCAGATATCAATTGTATTATATTTTTCCGGTTGTGTTGAGGAATCATCTGTCAGTTGAGATTGTGTCTCTTCAGGTATTCTTCGACGTTTTTGAGGTAATCGTCGTATGCAAAAAGATTATTATTATCCAATGTACACGACGATTAACAGCTATCCCTATGGAAATTAAAAATAATGTCATCATTGGTATAAAGATCTTATAAAAAGCACTATTTTATCTATATACATCGTACACTTTTTACAACTTACCATCAGAAAACAAAAGCACATTCTTTTGTATCCTGTCTAAGTTTCTGTTATAATTACTCGTATTCATCTCAAACAAATTATCAACATACAAAATTAACTTGCAAGTGTGAATTGGATGATGGACCAATGATTATAGTTATGCTTAATTATTGTAAACGTTTAATGATATAAAAAAATACGTACTCCAGGACCTAGGAAAGCCAAAATTGAATTTGGCTCCCTGTCAACACATATTTGTTCTGTATTAATTTTATTAAATATTTTATTCTCTAATTGGTACAGCTGTAAAAAAAAAAAAAAAAAAAACATTATACGGATATTGATCTCTCATAACACGATCTGTGAACTTACATCTGACAATTCATGGTCTTTTGTTAACCCCAATAAAACTTTCGGCGCCACCCTAATTGCCAATTTGGTTAACTTCGCCATTTCTTCTTTAGTCATGGTCACTGGTGGTGACGTGACGATGCCGTCTGCCCTCTGCAGCGAGTGAGCATCGACAAAGAAGTCACCCACCAGGAAGACGATTCGGTCTTCGACCCTGTACACACAAGCGTTGTTCCGGACGAACGCGATTTTGACCGGGTCACTGTCCATCGCAATTACTGTACAAAGAACGCGAACGCAATGTTAGTATACATTACGATATAATACACATACAAATTCGTTAAATAATACGAAAATAATTTTATTAAATTAGCAATATACCTTTGCGGCAGACCATGGCCAGTTGGATCGCGATCGCACCGGAACCGCAAAACGGATCTATCACAGTACCCAGCGACCTACACCGGGAAGCCATAAGTTTTGTCAAAACTTCTGGAGGCCCGGAGTAAAGGGTCGCTGTAAAAATAGTAAAATTATGAAAAGACAAACGTAGACGATAATATAAATAAAGACAGTCGTCTGTCTAACATACCTGGGTCTGCTATGATACCGTCGTTAAATTTTGAAAACTGTGAGAACCGCTTTTCCCACAACTTGTAGATGACGTTCAATTCCTGGGAATAGTACGTCATATTTTATTAAAATTTTATTTAACTGTAATTTAATTTAAATTTATTAATATCCTGTTGATTAGTATCATGTTATATGTATTTGTTCGTTTGGTATTACACTATTAGCGACTGTCTTACTGTGATCGACTGTTGCGGATGGTCAACGGCAAATTTTACCGCCCTCAAGATCACAAAGTATTGAAATGATAACGTTTTTTTCTATCAAATCCATTAAATATACAAAGACACACCTGTATGATTGTGGTAAACACATTTTGGTCTCGTCAAATGAAAAAATATAAATGTTAATGTTACACAGCGCATTATGGTAAACGATTCGTATCGCGTAAGTGAAAAATATGCAGAATCCGGAAGGGTGAGGGGGCTCATTCACGTTGAACATGACAGTAAATAATTAATGGTAAAGTGGTTTTGCACTCACTTTTGTGCGATTTTCTTCCATTTTTGGCAGAACGTAGGGAATGATATCGTCTTCGTTGTGACCAACTTGTTCTACGGTCACACGGACACTCGTCGCCGAGTCGACCACGTCACAAATCGATGCCGAATGCGCCTCCTCACTAAATTCGGTGACGTCAGACGCGACTTAACTGGCGGACGGGTAAGTCTGCATGCACACGTCAACGAACGTTATGGAGAAGTCACGTTTGGCCACTCGAGCGGTGACGGACACCGGGTCCGTTTGCGAGCCGCAATCCTTAAAGGTTGTGGGACTGGGAGCAGCCGACCACTGATGTCATCATGAACCAGAGGTCCACCTCGCGGTTCTTTCGATCCTGCGCAGCAATCGCGATACACGAAACCTCGTCGGACTAAAGCGGAAAAAATACGAGCGGGATACATTAAGAAAACCCGAACGGAGAACGAAAGTTTTTGTAGCGCAAATAGAACCTCGACCGTACGTACCTTGGTCTTTAGTCAACCAGACCAGGAACTGTGACCATCCGCATATAAAACAGAACGCAATTAATTTCAATCGCTCGTAGTCCCTGTCCACCTCCTGAGTAGGAGCACTACGGCGATCAGAACTGAAAAAACACATAAATGCATATCACGCGCGGTGACGCGTTATTGTCGTACAGTACGACGTGTTACAATACTGTCGTGTAGGTCCGTATACCTGATATTCAATCCCATTTTGTAGAAATGAGTTGATGATGTCGATTTTATTGTTGAGTTCACACTTGAGATACCTTGAGGCAAAACCAGGACAAGAAATCGTTGTGCTGTTACGCAAGGCAAAGTCGAATGTTATCAAATTTATTTATTCAACAGTTCTTATTAAGTTGCAATATATTTGCCGGGTAACGCTTATAGTACGTTACGTATCCATATCGTAAATGACCGATGCAAAAAAATATACGTAACTTGAAATCAAATTTATTAGTTAAATAATAATAAATAAAATGTTATTCTTTCGGACGGATGTACCTATCAAACGTGGCCATTTAATCTTCCTAAAAATGTGTTACCCCCTATAGATACTAACGATTTTTAAAATTATTCAGTATCGGTAAATAAGTACTTGTATATGAGTAATGTGATAATATATTTTCACTTAACATCCAAAAATAAAAAAAAAATTTTATGGTTCTATATTTAAACCAAAGCACTTTTTAAAATTCAAATACGAAAAAAAATATCTTTGCAATAGGGTAAAAGTTTCAAGTTTCTAGCCACTAACTAAAATTTGAAAAGTGAAAGTCCTATTTACAGCGTATTTTTACCGTTTCAGTTTTTTCTTCACGCCTGGAAAAACTATTAAGATTTAAAAAAAAATTACATACCTAAAGTACCACCGCATGCCAATTTAAAATGTAAAAAGTTCATAGAAAAAAACTTTTGGACCAGTATTTATATCCGAAAAAGTGTTAAAAAAATAAAACACCAACACATCATAATATCATACAACATACCAACATATCAACATAAAACCATAATATCCTTCGCTTCACTCAGAATCGAAAAGTAATCATGTGATGAAACATTTGTGTTTACATACGGGTAATTCGTAACATGCGCAATAAAAATATATAATATATAAATGAAAGTAAACAATTTAAATTTAGAAATATTCAAGTATTTACCAAATATTTTAGTAACTGTGGAATTGTACGGGATGCGGGTGTCTATAACCAATAAAGAACATGAAAAAGATAGAAAAACTTCAGCATCCCGAGTGTTTTTATTGAAATTGCGCCCTTGTAGACAATTATAAAATTTATATGTATGTAAAATATATAGTTCAAAGATTTAATAATATATATTCTAATTAGCGTTTATTAAATAACAGACAAAACGCAATTCGGCCGATATAAATTAAGAATTTACAATCTAAAATGCTTGTATACAAATTGTGGTTATCATAAAATTTAATTAAAAACAAAAACAAAAAAAATACATCCTATGTAGCATTAATATAACATATTGTTGTAAGCTAATAACCTTAGATGTCGAGGCTGTACGACGAATAAAAAAAAAATACGTGGCTTTTATAAATTAAAATGATTTTTCCTCATGGAAATAATTCATTTGTATTCATATTTATTCAAAGATGTTTAATCGAATATAATAAATAGATAGAATAACGAAAATCAATGTACTCGTAATACCTACAATATATAAAATATATATAAGATATATAAGATAAAATTCTATATATATATATATATATAATATAAATATTAAAATCGATTCATATATTCGATTCATTTCTGTAAATGTACAACTAAATGATTTGTATATAATCTAGAATGTATAATAAATATATTACCACCTGTAACAATTCTTATTTTTGATTTACAATGATAATCGTTTTTCCATATGTTTTGTTTGGCTAAAAATGTACAACCTAAAGACGTTTGAAACCTTACAAGAATAGAACTTTAATAATAATTAAAACTCATCGTTTGCACGTGGTTGTGGGGCTATCAAACAATGCCAATGGCTGTAAACCTTCTCCAGATAATGCGGATTAATTTGTAAAAACTATTGTAATAATCGGTCTAGTTACTATTGAGTCTATTAATCTTTGGTACATAATTTTTTATTGCTTTAATCCAACAGGTATTAAAGCATGAATATTATGTTTTCGTGAAAATTATTTATCAAACAATGTAATGGGTTTGTTATTTGAATTATACATTAAAATATATAATTTTTTTTTTTTTTTAGCACTCTAGGCCATTTAGGCCCATTGCCGCTTCCACTATCTCCCTCCATGATTCTCTATGTTTTGCCAGTTCCTCTCCATTTATGACTCCCAGCATCCTAATGTCTTCCTTAACTCGGTCCACCCAACGTTGTCTAGGCCTTCCTCTTGGTCTACTTTTGTTCGGTTTCCATTTCGTAATGGTCCATAGAAGTTGGTCTTTTGCTCTCCATACGTGTCCGGTCCATCTTATTCTTCGGCTCTTGAGTGTGGTAACTATATTGAGTTCGTTATATAAATCGTTCAGTTTTCTATTTGATCTTATTTCATAGATACCTTATTCATTTCTTTTTGTACCAAATATTCTACGTAAAATTTTTCTTTCGAAGATCATTAATTTGTTTTCGTCTGATTTAGTAGATGCCCATGCTCCACAGGCGTATAGTACTATTGGTCTAACGAGGGTCTTATAAAGTCTTATTTTCGTTCTTCTTGATAGTTGGACACAGTACTGAGACCCGCCATGGTTTTGGTATTGTTTCTTCTTTCCATACTTTGTTTATCAGTTGTTTTAGGCGTAGCATTACAGTACTTCCGCCTTGCTTTAAAAGTTCCGACATTATTGAGTCTTCTCCAGGTGCCTTTCCTCCCTTAAGCATTTCGACCGCCATTTCAACCTCTTCTAATGAGGGTTCTTCTAAGTATTGTACTACTGTGGCAACATCATTATCGTTTGTTTCTTTTAGAGTTGATACATTCAGCATTTTTTCAAAAACCTTTTTGAATTCTTTTGTTACTTCTTCTTTAACGGTAATTAAATTTCCCTCGTCCTCTTTCATTATTTTTGATCTTGGTTTAAATCCATTTTTTAAAATATATAATTACAATACTTTAAACATGGAAACCTGGATTGTGGATGGAATTAATGATGAGTGAGATAACGGAAGGAGAACGAGGATCGAAAAGAAAAATTATATTAGAGGAAGAGTAACAAAGAAAGGAGTATGTTTAGAGTATGAGTCGCAGAGGAGTGTGACATAAGAAAAGGATGTGAAGTAAGTCATATACGGCTACGAGGGTATGGTTGCAGAGAGTGTAAAAGGAAGAAGAATTAAGTGAAAGGAGAAATAAAAGATTAGAAATAATATAAAGTACACTCAAAAATGAATGTTTATTGAACTTATGTCAAATCATTTTTTATATTCTTGTTTGTTGTTTTCCATTCCACCTTCGTGATTTGAATAATGTAATTTGGTTTAATAAACAAACGCAAAATAAAGATCCTAACCTAACCTAATGCTAAATTGTATTCTGATGAATTATTTAATGAATTCAGACTTACTTTTGGTATACGCATTAGTACAATGTAACATTTAATAATTAATATTACTACGAGAACATCAAAGATATTGTGTTTTGAATGAAAATGTTAATGGTCTATTAAATATTAATGTGGATTATCGAATAGCGTTCACTGCGTTTATGTCACAATGATTATATTAACTTATGTTTATATATATATATATATATATATAATAAATAGGTTTTTAGATATATAATTTAAATTAATAGAAACCTCTAGTCTCATGTGTAGTGTCACCTCGTGTAGTGCATGTTTTTCCTGGCGATGAATGTAATTTAATCCATAAAATGTATCAAATTCCCTGCATAAATTCCAATGAAATAAATCATTTTTTTTCTCAGCTGGGTTTTTCTTTTATGCTGGTCCGGGTTGATTGATTTTTAGTCGATTCTTTAGAAACTCAAGTCAAATATCAGAGATCCTAACACAAAATACATGATCAATATTATGTTTGTAAAATGGTTTTGTTTTACCTACTGGCACTAAGAATATTTACAAGTACTTGAATTGTTAAACAATTTATCGTATGTAAAACTAACGAATATACTGTTGAATAATTTTTACAAAAAGTACACTCGCATTTAATATCGTGCATAGCTTTTGAAAAAATCATTTCGGTCAAAAATCTGTCAACTGCATAACATTGCACACAAATAATAAACGCCAATGAAATGCTTAGGGTAAATAATAGAGCTAAAAATCTAATTAATCTCCGTTATTTAAAATATTGATATCAGTCCAAACAAGTGAGCTACGTCGTTGAATCAAATAAAAATCATCAGTAATCCATCTGTAATTAGTACAGTAAGGTCTCGATAATCCGAACACAGGTTAATCCAAACAAACTTGAGAAACATCGCATCGCTATATTAACCCTTTTAGATCCACGTGCCATTAAAATGACTAGACTTTTCAATTAATTTTATAAAATACAATTTTATTGACAATGATGTTATTATTGTCTAGCATTGTTAAGAAAGAACTAATGAAGAATATGTTAAAAATAACTTTTTCCACTCGGTCTATTTATAATGACTACATTTTGCAAATGCTTATGAAAATATTTTGGTACCCTAATATGTCGTTTTTTTTTTTTTTTTTGTTGAATTTTAATATTTTATGATTTTATCAAATGATAACATTGGAAAATTACCAGATTTTTTTCTTCATGACTTAACTTGTGTAAGATTATATTCACGCGGGAAAATATAGAATACGTTAATTTATCACGTAAGTTATCACGACCAAACACGTGATCAATATTATTGAAATGGCAGTTGGGCGTCTGTCTTATCATTATTTTTAAAATGTTTAATACACCGCCATCACATTATTATTTTACTGATATTGTTTTTAACGTTAGCAACGGTCTGCGTAGAACTTTTTTATTTATAACGTATTTTTTCTACCTCAACAGTAAATGTTTACTTATAAACAACTTTAATATGTATTTATTACAACAACATTATACTTTATCTTTGTTATATCAAATAAGAACATAAATATATTTTATATTTTCTTTGAACAGACTATGAAAACAAAAAAAGGTCTACAAGGACGTGATATTTGAGATATTCCGTTGGATAACGAAATGGATTCTGAATTATCATCTTTATCCATTGATGATGATGAAGAACATGTTTTTCCTACAGATGAATTAAATTATTTAATTAATTCCTTGGGCGAAGAATTTATTGATGAACATATTTTTGATTTTGAAAATGATATAACCATCGGTAACTTTTAAAATGTAATGTGTTTTAATTATTATTTTAATATTTACTGTTTATT